CAGAATAGGGTTTTGGGGCATATTCTTTTTCAAATATACAAAGCAGCCCCAAACTGGCATTGGTAATTATTTAGGCCCCTATGTTATCCCGTCCTGGAGTCTTTGTGAACGTGGCAGGTCTGAAAGCCGCTCCCTGCAATACTACCGCATTCGCCGCCAGAAGCCCCAAGCTTTTGAGAACCTCGCAGAACCTGGCGCAAAAGCCCTGCAAATGAAGCAGAGGCTTACAGCATTCGTACACCCTATACCCCTAAAGCCCTTAAGCCCTAAACCCTCAAACCCCAAACCCGAAACCCTAAACCCTAAAAGCCCTAGAAACCCAAAGAAGCATCGTTGGCAAAGGCAGGCTGCTCGCCGCCGGTACGAGGAACTCCACAAGGTGGGCCAGGGTTGATTGTTTTCTTTCCTTAAATTAAGGGTTGAGGGTTTAGGGCGCAGGGTTTAGGGTTTAGGGCTTAGGGTTTAGGGCTTAAGGTTTAGGGTTTAGGGTTTACGGCTTCCTGTTCCTAAAAGGGTTCTTAAACGCTTTGGGGTGTGGGGTATTGGGGTTTAGGCTGGACAATCACGAGGATGAGGAGGGAGCGTTTTTGGTGGGTTTTGTGGTTTTCGGTAAGGTTTCGGGTGTTAGTTTTTGTGTTTAGCGTTTCCTTTAGGGTGTAGGTTCGAGGATCCTTGATGGAGGGTGGTTCAAGGGGGGAGGCTACTAGGGAACCTTTGGGAACCTTAGCGATACCTTAGGGATACCTTGCGGAGCCTTCAGGGATTATTGGGTTATATAAGTTATATACCCAGCATGGGCCCCACTCCCTTAACAATCCTCTTAGTAAGTGGTCCAGCTCCGGCTTCTCTATTCGGAGGGTTTAGGGTGTTGGGGTTTAGGGTTCGGGTGCCCGGAACGAGGGGCTGGCCCAGTAGTCACCTACCAGTGCAACCGCTCAAAACCAGCAGCCCTGATTTAGACAAATTACCACATCCCCCTTGACCTGACCCAATATATGGGGTTTCCGAAAATAGGGGACCCTAAATAGTACCCCAATAGTAGGATTCTTATTATAAGGATCCCAAAATAAGGTACCCTGATTTCGGAAACTCCCATATCCCAGCAAAGAGGCGTGCAGTGATTTTTACACGTCGCCAGACCCTTCATCCCTAACCTAAGGCCTCCACCCCAAACGCCGAGTGTCCTAAATCCCTAAACTAAGCCATTATATCGTTCTACCCGCCCCTAACGCCCCCAAACGACCCAAAACCCTGAAGC